AACTCAAAAAAAAAAAAAAAAAAAGAAGAAGTATTCACAGAAATAGTCCTCAGATCTAGAAAGGATACAGTTATTAAAAAGAAAAAGGTGGCTGGGCACAGTGGCTCATGCCTATAATCCCAGCACTTTGGGAGGCTGAAGTGAGAGGATTACCTTAGCTCAAGGGTTTGAGACCAGCCTGGGCAACTTAACGAGACCTCATCTCTACAATAAGTCTAAAAATTAGCCAGGCATGATGGCGCGTTCCTGTAGTTCCAGCTACTTGGAAAGCTGAGGTGGAAGGATGGCCTGAGCCCAGCAAGTCGAGGCTGTGGTAGCCGTGAGTGTGCTACTGCCCTCCAGCATAGGCAATAGAGTGAGACTCGGACTCAAGAAAAAAAAAAAGAAAGTAAATTATTATTAATCGGTTCCTTCATTGATGACAGTTGTTTTTAACTAAGGTTAACAATAGTAGCTTTAATCATATTTTTGTTTCCTTTTCAGTGTGCTTGTGGATACCATGAAGCATATATTGAAGCTTAATAAATTAATAATGAAATCCCAGCAGGTAAACTTGCACATTAAGGTCACTTATGCATTAGTATTACTTCTTGTGTGTAATTACTGTATATGATTAAATAACATTGTTCTGGCTGGGTGCGGTGGCTCATGATTATAGTCCTAGCACTTTGAGAGGCCAAGGTGAGAGGACTGTCCGAGCCCACAGTTTCGAGACGGGCCTGGGCAACTTGATGAGACCTCATCTCTTTAGTAAATCAAAAAAAAAAAAATTTAGCTGGGCATGGTGGCAACTGCCTGTAGTTCCAGCTACTTGAAAGACTGAGGCAGAAGGATCGCCTGAGCCCAGCTGGTCGAGGCTGCGCTGGCCGTGAGTGTGCCACTATACTCCAGCCTGGGCGACAGAGTGAGACTTCAACTCAAAAAAAAAAAAAAATCCTCGGAGGGGACTGATATGATTGGAATTCACTGTCCTTATGTTCACTTTTGTTTTCATAACTTCATTATTTCTGAGTAATGTTACAAAATGTCTATAATGAAACTACAATCTTAACTTTTGTTGTCTGGAAATAGGAATTGAAGACTGTAGCTTATGTGAATTTATAGATCAAACTCAGTGATTTAAGTATGATTGGTTTGTTTTAAGTACAGTACTGTGCTTTAATCTTTCTGTTTTTAATAACAGGAATCTTCGGACTTAGAGGAAAAACTGCTTGATGTTAGAAAGAAGAGATTGGGTATGTAGAACACTTTTTTTTTTAATTTTGAGTTGAAGTGTCACTCTGTTACCCAGACTGGAGTACAGTGGCATGCTCTCGGCCACCATACCCTTAACCTGCTGGGCTCAGGCAATCCTTCTGCCTCAGCCTTCCAAGTAGCCGAAACTACAGGCATGGGCTATACACCCGGCTTATTTGTTGATGTATTGTACAGATTAGGTCTCACCAAGTTGCCCAAGCTGGTCTCAAACCCCTGAGCTCAGGCAATCCTCTCGCCTCAACCAGCCAAAGTGCTGGGATTACAGGCTTCAGCCACTGCGCCTGGCCCACAGAACACTTCTTTTGGCATAACATGGTTTCACGTTGGAGACTGATAAGGCCAGATCTCTGAGAAATTTGCTGATTTTCAAGATGTCTTAAGAGTTTGGAACATGGCAATTTAAAAAGTGGAATATGAAGTGCATTTTCTTTATGTATTGCCATTGTTTCAGAACTTTATTTTATTTTATTTTTGAGTTGGAGTCTCACTCTGTCACTCAGACTGGAGTGCAGTGGCCGTTCCCGGCCACCACGACCTCGACCTGCCGGGCTCCAGCAATCCTTCCGCCTCAGACTTCCAAGTAGCTGGAACTACAGGTGCACGCTACCACGCCTGGCAGTTTTTAAATTTTTTTTATTGTAGAGATGAGGTCTCGCCAAGTTGCCCAGGCGGGTCTCGAACCCACAGGTTCAGGCAATCCACTCACCTCAGCCTCTCAAAGCGCGGGATTACAGGCTGAGCCACCGAGCCCGGCTTGTTTTAGAACTTTAAATCACAAAATGAATATAATATCAGCAGGGGGAAAATCAGATGATATAGAAAATTATATTGCCAAATTTAAGTCACCATCCTGTGTTTGGTATGTATTAGTTTAGACCTTTTTCATGCTCATATAGACACTTAGATACATGTAATATCTAATGATCAATGATACATATGGTTCTCCAGCCTTTTTACTTACTATATCACAAAATGCGATGGCTCTTTGCATTGAAACTATTGAAGCCGGGTTTGGTGGCTCAGCCTGTAATCCTGTCCCTGGGAGGCTGGGGTGAGTGGATTGCCTGAGTCCGTGGGTTTGAGACCCACCTGGGAAACTTGGTGAGACCTCATCTCTACAATAAATAAAAAAATTAGCCGGGTGTGGCAGTGTACACCTGTAATTCCAGCTACTCGGAAGGCTGAGGCGGAAGGATCACCGGAGCCCCAGCTGGTCGAGGCTGCAGTGGCCGCTCAGTCTGAGATTCCAACTCAAAAAAAAAAAAAACAAAAGAAACTATTGAAATGTTTATATCAAAATTAATATATACTCTCTATAGAAAATTTAGAAACAGGATAGGCTCAGTGGCTTAGCCTGTAATCCCAGCACTTTGGGAGGCCAAGGTGAATGAATGGATTACCTTAGCCCGTGGGTTCGAGACCAGCACGGGGAATTTGGCGAGACCTTATCTCTACAATAAATAAAAAAAATTAACTGGGCATGGTAGCGCACGCCTGTAGTTCCAGCTACTTGGAAGGCTGAGGTGGAAGGATCACTGGAACCCAGCAGGTCAGCGCTGGGGTGGCCATGAGTGTGCCACTGCACTCTAGCCTGGACGAAAGAGTGAAACTCTAACTCAAAAAAAGAAAGGGAAAAAAAATTTAGAAACAGAAGAATATATACATATATATATGTATGTATATATATATATATATATATATATATATATATATATAAAATTTAATTTTTTATTTTCCATCAAAAGATAATCAGGGCCGGCCATAGTGGTTCACACCGATAATCCCAGCACTTTGGGAGGCTGAGATGAGAGGATTGCCTGAGCCCAAAGGTTCGAGACCAACCTGGGCAACTTGGTGAGACCTCATCTCTACAATAAGTCAAAAAATTAGCCGGGTGTGGTGGCACACACCTGTAGTCCCAGCTACTTGGAAGGATTGCTTGAGCCTAGTAGGTTGATGCTGCGGTGGCTGTTAACGTGCCACTGCACTCTAGCCTAGGGGACAAAGTGAGACTTTTACGCAAAAAAAAGATACTGTAGTTCCAGATCCTTGAAAGGCTGAGGCAGGAGGATCGGTGGACCCCAGCAGGTCAATGCTGGGTGACTGTGAGTGTGCCACTGCACTCCAGCCTGGGCAACAGAGTGAGACTCCAACTCACAAAAAAAGAAGCGATAATCAGTCTTCACTGTATATATCTTTTCAAATAAAATTGGCATCATTTTATTTTGTGTTATAAACTTTTCATTTAAGCTGGGTGCTGTGGTTCCTGCCTGTATCCCAGCACTTTGGGAGGCTGAGATGGGATGATTGCTCAAGACCGGGAGTTCAAGAACAGCTAGTGAGGGCTTGTCACTACGAAAAAAAAGTTATTGTGTGTGTCACTTTTGTAATCGAAAGGTAAAAAAGTATTTCCTATATTTACATGAGTCTCCTGCCTACTCTTTTGCAATCCAAAATAAGCCGTTTTACATGATGCCACTTCGAACGTTTATACACAGCTATCATTGTCATATACTTCAAATATTTCACTAAGGGCATTACTAAGTATAAAATTAAAATTTTGTTATTTTTTACCAAAGAAGTCATTTTCATGTCAAAATAAAACCGTAACCTAATGCTTATTAAAAATTTTCTCTTGACCAGGCATAGTGGCTCACGCCTGGAATCCTAACATTTTGAGAGGCTGAGGCAAGAGGACTACTTGAGTCCAGAGTTTGAGACTAGCCTAGGCAACATCGAGAAACCACATCTCTGCAGAAAAAAGTCAAACTTTTAGCTGCTGTGGTGGTGTGCGCCTATCTTCTCAGTTAATTGGGAGGCTGAAGCAGAAGGATCGCCTTAGCTCAGGATGTCGAGGCTGCAGTGAGTTGTGATTGTGGCACTACACTCCAGTTCTGTGGACAGAGTGGACTGCAACTCAAATGAAGAAAAAAGTTTCTCTTGTTTAAAAAAACCAGGAAATGTACTGCTTTGTAATTTTTCTTTGCTTTTCTTTATTTTTTGGGGGCGGTGGTCAGAGTCTCACTCTGTCGCCCAGGCTGGAGTGCAGTGGCACGTTGGTTTTCTTGTATTTTTTTTAAGTTGGTGTCTTACTCTGTCACCCAGACTGGAGTGCAGTGGCCGCTCCCGGCCACCACATCCTCGACCTGCTGGGCTCCAGCGATCCTTCCGCCTCAGCCTTCCAAGTAGCTGGAACTACAGGCACATGCTACCACGTTCGGCTGATTTTTTGATTTATTGTAGAGATGAGGTCTCGCCAAGTTGCCCAGGTGAGTCTCGAACCTGCGGGCTCAGGCAATCCACTCACCTCAGCCTCCCAAAGCGCAGAATTACAGGCTGAGCCACCGAGCCCGGCTCAGTGGCACATTTGTGACCACCACAGCCTTGACCTGCTGTGCTCAGGCGATCCTTCAGCCTCAGCCTTCTAAGTAGCTGGAGCTACAGGTGTGAGCCACCACACCCAGATAATTTTTTTATTTTTATTTTTATTTTTTTTTGAGTTGCAGTCTCACTCTGTCGCCCAGACTGGAGTGCAGTGGCCACTCCCGGCCACCGCAGCCTCGACCTGCTGGGCTCCAGTGATCCTTCCGCCTCAGCCTTCCAAGTAGCTGGAACTACAAGCGCGTGCTACTACACCCGGCTAATTTTTTGATTTATTGTAGAGATGAGGTCTCACCAAGTTGCCCAGGTATGTCTTGAACCCGTGGGCTCAGGCAATCCACTCACCTCAGCCTCCCAAGGCTCAGGATTACAGGCAGAGTCACCGAGCCCGGCTAAATTTTTTATTTATTTTAGAGTTGAGGTTTCACTAAGTTTCCCAGTCTGGTCTCGAACCCCTGGACTCAGGCAATCCTCTCGCTTCTGCCTCCCAAAGGGCTGGGATTACAGACATTAGCCACCATGCCTGGCATGCTTTGTAATTTTTCAAGATCCTTATTTGTAAAGCTCTCATATATAATGTATTTTATTTTTAACCTAATAGAATTAAAACAAGCTTCAGAAAGTAAGTTTTTGGAGATACAGACTGAGAAGAACAAACAGAAAAACGACTTGGACAATATAGAAAATTCGGACACAATAAAGACCATGAAACAAAACCTACAGACAGAGATACAAATTACTACAGTTATACAACATGTATTCCAGGTAACATTTATATAAATTTGGATGGAAGGAAGAATTATTTTTTATATGATTCAGTGCTGTTACCGTATTGACTAAGTCATCTAGTCTTTGATCCTCATAAACTAATTGAAGTAGAATTTTCATCTGTTTATGTGTCTGGAATTCATGTATGTTTGGTGTTTAAGGCCTTGATTTTTCATTATGGACAGACCTTTGGCATTTATACATGGAAAGGTCTTTTTGTTTTTTTGAGCTCTTTGGAGGCAGAATGGAGTAATTTGCAGTGTCGGGAGTTTTAGATGAGGGTGATGGGAATGTAGGGTTAAGAACTTGGCTGGTACTTAATAGTTGCAAGTTAACCTTGATAAAATTATTTAACTTTTTTTTTCCTTGAGTGGGAGTCTCTCTCACTCTGTTGCCCAAGCTGGAGTGCAGTGGCACACTCAGAGCTAGGGCAGGCTCAACCTGCTGGGCTCAGGTGATCCTTCCCCCTCAGCCTTCCAAGTAGCTGGAACTATAGGCATGCACCACCACGCCAGGCTAATTTTTTAATTTATTGTAGAGATGAGGTCTTGCCAAGTTACCCAGGCTTGTCTCGAACCCCTGAGCTAAGGCATTCTTCTCACCTCTGTCTCCGAAAGTGTGGGGATTAGAGGCTTGAGCCACTGCGCCTGGCCTCATGTCAGTTTGTAAGTGTTCTATATCGGTTTATTCTGGGGGCATTTCATTTTTTTTTTTTTTTTCCCCTGAGTTGGCGGTCACACTTTATCACCCAGGCTGGAGTGCTGTGATATAATCACAGCTCACTGTAGCCTCGATCTTCTGGGCACAGGTATTCCTTCTACCTCAGCCACCCAATTAGCTAGGACTGCAGACACATGCCACCACGCCCAGCTAATTTTTAGTTTTGTAGACACAGGGTCTCATTATGTTGCCTAGGCTGGTCTTGAACGCCTAGGCTGAAGCAGTCCTCTCACCCCAGTTCCCCAAAGTGCTGGGATTACAAGCGTGAGCCTCTATGCCTAGCCTTTTCATTACTTTTTGAATTTTAAAATGTTTCTGAGACTGTTGATGTGAAATGTATTTTCATTGTTTTTGGAATATTCTAATACTGTCATTTTTGTTACCATTGTTCGATTGTATAAAATGTACAGTTATTTTATATATAAAACATGGGGTCTTGCATCTCACCAAAAGATTTTCTTCCTTAGGTCTTTTATCTGTTTTTTTGTAGCAGAAGGTGATTGGATTAGCAATGTGCAAATCCCCAAGGCTAACCCCAAGTGGAGGATTGAATCATTTTACTTTTCCATGGCACATGTTGGTTTTTTCATGCTGCTTTGAGACTTCCATTATTCTTCCTTTTTTGATCTTTATTTATATCCTATAAATCAGTATTAATTTTGATTTAATGGACTCATCGCTTTTTTAAATAACCTAAGCTAATATGCATAGCTTTGGCCAACTTCAGGAACTTTCTTTATTCTTCTTTTTTGTGTGTGTGTTGGAATCTCACTCTGTCACCCAGGCTGGAGTGCAAGGGCATGCTCACAGCCACCACAGCCTCGACCTGCTGGGCTCAGGCAATCCTTCTGTCTCAGCCTTCCAAGTAGCTGGAACTGCCGGCGTGCACTAACATACCCAGCTAATTTTTTGATTTATTGTAGAGATGAGGTCTCGCCATGTTGACCAAGCGGGTCTCAAACCTGCAGCCTCCCAAAGTGTTGGGATTATAGGCTTGAGTCATTGCGCCTGGCTGCTTTCTTTATTCCTAAAGTCAGCCTCTAGTGGTTTGATCATGTTTAAATGCTTATTTCCATCTGCCTTTGTTAATTTGACTGGAATTATGTTGACTAACCCTTCTGTTTACTTACAGCAAGAGTGTACCTTATTTAGGCCAAAGTTTGTTTGTTTTTTTTTGAGTTGAAGTCTCACTCTGTCGCCCAGACTGGAGTGCAGTGGTCGCTCCCGGCCACCGCAGCCTCGACCTGCTGGGCTCCGGTGATCCTTCTGCCTCAGCCTTCCAAGTAGCTGGAATTACAGTAGCGCGCTACCACACTCGGCTAATTTTTTGATTTATTGTAGAAATGAGGTCTCACCAAGTTGCCCAGGCGGTCTCAAACCCACAGGCTCAGGCAATCCACTCACCTCAGCCTCTCAAGGCACGGGATTACAGGCTGAGCCACTGAGCCGGCTTAGGCCAAAGTTTTTAATGTTTTTATATCAAATACTATAGCACATACTCTAAAATCTGTTTTAACATTATTTCAGTCAGTATCATTGAGCTATAGTTTTTCTTTCTTCTTTTTTTTTTTTGAGTTTAAGTCTCACTCTGTCACCCAGACTGGAGTGCAGTGGCCACTCCCGGCCACCGCAGCCTCGCCTGCTGGGTGCCAGCGATCCTTCTGCCTCAGCCTTCCAAGTAGCTGGCCCTACAGGCGCGCGCTACCACGCCCGGCTAATTTTTGATTTATTATAGAGATGAGATCTCACCAAGTTGCCTGGGCGGGTCTCGAACCCGCGGTTTCAGGCAATCCACTCACCTCAGCCTCCCAAGGTGCAGGATTACAGGCTGAGCCACCGAGCCCGGCTAGAGCTATAGTTTTTCAAGAATTAATTAACAGAGTCCTTAATAATTATGACGCTAATCATTCTTCCACTGTCTATTACAAAAATATTCTTCATATTTTTCAGGTATTGAAGCTTTACAGGTATTGAAAACTAAGCTCTCCTTTTACTTTATTGAAAATAGGGCATATTATGCTTCAGTTATTGATTTTTTACCATAGGGCTGCAAAATGAACTGTGAACCACAGAGTTTCCTCTGCAGATATCCTTAACAGATAAACCTCACTCATGGAAACTGAGGAAGCATAAAAAATGATTGTATTTTCCCCCCAAGGGTTGGAGGAAATAAAGTTATTGTGAATATTCCCTAACGTGGGGATCATGGACGAAGCCTTAGTCAAAGTGAAAGGAAAGATACGAGAATATCCTGCTGCTTATCGTGAGCATGGAGAGACACACCTAGTCAATATTAAGTAACTTTCATAAGATCCGTGAGACTTCTCTTTACTCTTCAGTCTTTAAAAATGGTTTTAACTCTAACTTAATTTTCTTTTTCTTAATTACAGAGCCTCATCTTGGGGAGTAAAGTCAACTGGGCAGAGGATTCTGCCTTTAAGGAAACTGTTCTGCAGCTTGAGAAAAACCTCGCCATGATCTAATGGTTCTAGTTTGTTTTTGTCTTTGATGTGTCATTTAAATAGCAGATTTCAGATGAAGTGTATTTTCAGTGTGTTTGGAATGCTCTGTCACTTTTGTTGGTTTTATTCAGCACTGTAACGTGGCATCTATTGTTTTAAAGACAATTAGAGTGACTGGCAGACTCTTGGCATCTATTGTTTTAAAGATAATTAGTGACTGGCATACTCTAAAAGAGTCTGAAAATCTTAGCCTTGGAAGACTCCTGAAGGACATCTGGTCCAGCTTTCCGTTGAGAGTGAACATTTGTTCTACATTTCTGACAGTTCTAACTCTTAACTGGGATACTTATGTGCATTTGTGTATTTGTCAACCAAAATTTTTGAAAAGTATATACAGTGTTTATAGTGGTCATTATTTGTAGTAGAATTGGGAGTGACTATTTTTCTTTTTGTATTTCTATGTTTAGTATGCATTATTTTTTTACATTAATTTTATGTTAAGAAATAAAAGGAATAAGGCCATGTGCAGTGGCTCATGCCTGTAATTTTTCGGAGGTCAAGGCAGGAGGATTGATTGAGTCCAGGAGTTTGATTTGAGATCAGCCTGGGCAACATGGTGAGACCTGGTCTCTGCAAAAAAAAAAAGTTAGCTGGGTGTGGTGGTGTACTCCTGTAGTCCAAGCTACTCAGTAGGCAGAAGTGGGAGGATTACTTGAGCCCAAAAGTTTAAGGCTTGGTGAGCTGTGACCGCAGCACTGCACTACAGCCTGGGCGACAGAAGGAGATCCACTCCAAAAAAATATCATGTTAGAAAACCTAAAGACACAGCATTAAGTTATAGAATGAATTGCAACCCAGTGGATTATCAATATCATCTGAAAACTTTTGCTTTTTTCTAGGATTTTACTACTCTTTGGGTTTATTCCTTTTTTAACTGTTGTCCATAATGATTGTATTTTGCTATATATATGTGCAGATTTTCCATAAATAATATAACATAATTCAAAAATGTATATTTAAAAATTGGATGATCTGTGATATTTTTACAGATTTCTTTTTTCCCGTTGATGTATTCTGATAAACGATTGCCCTATGTATTTTTTTTATTATAGAGATGTGAGGTACAGGTCAGGATGAGGTACATAAGTCACGTATGTGCAGGTGGACTTTGGGCCTCCAGCTGGTCCTCACTTCCCCTGGTTGAGGATCAGGTACTCTTTGTGTTGTTACGTGCCTCCCTCCCTCCCTCCTTCCTTCCCTCAGTGTCCTGTGGCTGCTGGTCCCTCCCTTGTGCTATTGTTATTGCTGTCCGGGTCCCACTTTCGAGTGAGAACATGTAGTAGTCGTGTTGTCTGTGATCGGCCGCGAAGAATGATTGTCTCCAAGCCCATCCAGTGTGCTGCAAAGTCCATCATTTTGTTATTTATGGCTGCGTAATAGTCCATCGTGTATACGTACCACATTTTCTTTATCCAGCCTACTTTCGATCGGCAGCATGGTTGGTTCCATGTTTTTGCTATTGTGAATAGTGCGGCACCAAACATGCGTGTGCAGGTGTCTTTTTTGTAGAACAATTTGTGTTCTTCCAGGTATGTTCCTAGGAGGGGCACTCCTGGATTGTATGGAATTTCAATTTCTAGTCCCTTGAGATATCACCACACTGTTTTCCATCGAGGATGGACTAGTTTACACTGTCACCAGCAGTGTAGAAATGTCTCTTCACACCTGTGCCAGTGTCTATTTTTATTTATTAACGATGGCCATCCTTACTGGGGTAAGGTGATACCTCAATGTGGTTTTGATTTTCATGTCTCTGATAATTAGGGAGACTGAGCATTTTTTCATGTATTTTCTGGCTGCTCATATGTGTTCTTTTTTTTTTTTTTTTTGAGTTAGAGTCCCACTCTGTCGCTCAGGCTGGAGTCCAGTGGGATGCTCACGGCTACCACAGCCTCTGCCTGCTGGGCTTAGGTGATCCTTCTACCTCAGCCTTCCAAGTAGCTGGAAATACAGGCATGTGCCACCGTGCCCGACTGAGTTTTTGGTTTACTATAGAGATGAGGTCTCACCCAGTTACTCAGGCTGGCCTGGAACCTGTGGACTCAGGCAGTCCTCTCACCTCGGCCTCCTGAATGCTGGGATTATGGGTGTGAGCCACCGTGTCCAGCTCGAATGTATTCTTTTGAGAATTATCTATTCATGTCCTCTGCCCATTTTTTTTTTTTTCTTTGAGTCAGAGTCTCACTCTGTCGCCCAGACTGGAGTGCAGTGGCCGCTCCCGGCCACCGCAGCCTCGACCTGCTGGGCTCCGGCAATCCTTCCACCTCAGCCTTCCAAGTAGCTGGAACTACAGGCACACGCTACCACGCCCAGCTCATTTTTTGGTTTAATGTAGAGATGAGGTTTCACCAAGTTGATCAGGTGGGTCTCGAACCCACAGGCTGACAATCCGCTCACCTCAGCCTTCCAAGGCGCGGGATTACAGGCTGAGCCACCGAGCCTGGCTTGCCCATTTTTTAATAGGGCTGTTTGTTTTTCTCCTCTTTGAGTTTTTTAAAAAATTTTTAATTTTAAAGATGCGGGGTACAATTCCGGGTTAGGTATATGAATGTTCATTATGCAGGTAGCCTTGTTGATGAGGTGTTGAGTTTATTTTATTTTTTTTTTTTTTGAGTTGGAGTCTCACCCTGTCGCCCAGATAGGAGTGCAGTGGCCGCTCCTGGCCACCGTAGCCTCGCCTGCTGGGCTCCGGCAATCCTTCCGCCTTGGCCTTCCAAGTAGCCAGAACTACAGTCATGTGCTATCATGCTCGGCTCATTTTTTATTTATTGTAGAGATAAGGTCTCGCCAAGTTGCCCAGCCTCCCAAAGGGCTGGGATTACAAGCTGAGCCACCAAGGCCAGCTAGAGTTTATTCTTTTTTTTTTTGAGTTGGAGTCTCACCCTGTCGCCCAGACTGGAGTGCAGTGGCCGCTCCCGGCCACCGCAGCCTCGACCTGCTGGGCTCCGACGGTCCTTCCGCCTCAGCCTTCCGAGTAACCGGAATTACAGGCATGCGCTATCATGCCCAGCTGGTTTTGTTTTGTTTTGTTTTTTTTAATTGTAGAGATGAGGTCTCGCCAAGTTTCCCAGGCGGGTCTCGAGCCCGCGGGCTTAGAGTTTATTCTTAAAGCCCAGTTCTGAGAGAGAGTTTGTTAATTAGCTTTTCTTGAAAGTGAGCTGAATAGTCAGATCTCAGTAACAAATAGAAATAGGACAGAAGTAAATATTCCTGTGTAAGGGCTGTAATTCAAGCTAATCATTCTGGGACTCAGGCTGAGAGAACAGCTACTATCTGAAGCCCATTCTCATGGCAAAAGCAGGAGTTTACAAAGCCAAGTGAAATTATGCCAGCACAATTAAAGTTTCTGCTTGAAAAGGGTGGACAATGACCAAGCCTAACATCATTGAGGCAGGAAAGTATATATTTCTCCCATAGCAGGGGAGTGGTGGGTTTCAGAGTCAGGGAAAGACAATTTATATTTACTGAAAGAATACAATCTATCAGTCAGCCATCTTGGTCATAAATATTAACTTCCAGCTGGGCTCGGTGGCTCAGCCTGTAATCTTGCACCTTGGGAGGCTGAGGTGAATGGAATGCCTGAGCCTGTGGGTTCAAGACCTGCCTGGGCAACTTTGTGAGACCTCATCTCTACAACAAATCAAAAAATTAGCTGGGCATGGTAGCGCACCCCTGTAGTTCCAGCTACTTGGAAGGCTGAGGTGGAAGGATTACCGGAGCCCAGCGGGTCGAAGCTGCGCTGGCCGGGAGCAGCCACTGCACTCCAGTCTGGGGACAGTGAGACTCCAACTCAGAAAAAAAAAGTTGCAAGATTAGCCAATGTGTACTGGCAAGAGCCTGGAGATGCCTACAGGACTTGATTTTGAGGATGCTTTTTCTAAGAAGCCATAACATAAAATTGTATAAGGGGGAGACAGTTTGTATGGAATCCTGTCTTGGTATGCAAGCATTAACATTGCTAAGGGCCCCGGGGGTTGATACAAACTCACTGCTAGGGTGGCTTTTATTTATTTATTTACTTATTTATTTATCTATTTATTGAGTGGGAGTCTCACTCTTGTTGCCCAGGCTGGAGTGGAGTGCGGTGTCACGCTCATGGCCACCTCAGCCTTGACCTGCTGGGCTCAGGTGATCCTTCCATCTCAGTCTTCCAAGTAGCTGGAACTACAGATGCATGCTACCATGTTCAGCTGGTGTGTGTGTGGTGATTTATTGTAGAGATGAGGTCTCACCAAGTTACCCCAGTCCAGGCTGGTCTTGAACCCCTGGGCGCAGGCAATTTTCTCACCTTGGCCTCCGGAAGTGCTGGGATTACATGCTGAACCACTGCACCTGGCTTTACTTACTAATTTTTTTGAGTCTAAGTCTCACTGTGTTGCCCAGGCTGGAGTGTGGTGGCACACTCATGGCTTGCCGCAGCCTCGACCTCCTGAGCAATCCATCCATCTCAGCCTTGAAAGTAGCTAGGACTATAGGCGTGGGCCACTGTCCCCGACATTTTTTTTTTTTTGTAGAGACGGTCTCACTATGTTTTCCGCGCTGGTCTCATCTCGGCCTCCCAGAGTGCTGGGTAGGGTGTTAGAAGCCCAGAGAAAGCATCCTACACTGAGCAAAACTGAAATGATGAACTGTAACACATGGTGGGGGAAGGGATTAATAGGCTCGAGGAAATTGGCATGCTGGGGTGGATGTCTTACCTGGGGCCAGAAGATCCACCACGGATGATGCTCCACAGGAAAGCCAGGAGGACCACACTGGGAGTCTGCAGGCGTCTGAGCAGCTCGGTGCTGGCTCTCCCGGAGAGCCGCCCTCGTGTGTGGCCAGCCTGAGAGAGCCCCAGAGAGTCGCGGGTGGTTTCCACCTGCCCAGCCATGGGGCAGAGCTGCCCAGGGCCCTGGGGCCCCACCCGTCCGGAAGGCAGGGTCTTGAGCCAGAGAGGAGTACTCTCAAGGCCCTGATTCAGCATCGTTTGCCTTGTTGGGTTTCGGACTCCTAGGGGCCTGCTGCCCCTGTCTTGCCGTCTCTTCCTTTTGGGGCAGGAATGCTGTCCTCTGCCTGGCCCGCCGCTGGATTTCGGAGCACTTGCTGCCCTTGGGCCCAGCTCGCAGCTGGAGGGGCGTGTCTCGGGATGAGTCGCACCTGGAGTCTCGCCCACGTCTGATTGGATGAGACTGGCTGTTAGGCTTTTGAATTAGTGCTGGGATGAGTTGAGACTTTGGGGGCAACTGGGATGGTTAAATGTATTTTGCATGTGAAAAGGGCATCCATTTGGGGAGCCAAGGGAAGGATGCTTTGGTCTGAATGTGTCTCTCAAAATCCATATGTTGAAGCTTTGTCATTGTGCTAGGTAACGTTAAGAGGTGGAGCCTTTAGGGGTGATTACATCACAAGTGCAGAACCCTCACCGATGAGATCAGGGCCCTTACAGAAGACCTTGAGAGAGAAGGT